CCCAATAAGCTGTAAGACAACAGGCCCAATTTCTTCTCTAGAATCACACTCAGACCCAAAGTAATCAAGCACCACTCTCTTCTCCAAACAAATCACGCGCTGACCTAATTTCGTCTGCAAAATCCATGCTCACCGCACCAAAATCAAAATGAACCCAACTAGAAACCGTCAACGAGCCTGTCCAAACTGCAGAGGAAATCAACTGACTGTGAAAAGTGGAAGAAATTGAGCGGACGGGGTCCAAATCGCCGACCAGAGACTCGTCGGTAAAGACCCTAAACACCGGAGATCAGAATCCAACTAGAAAACCTAAACTGCACCTTCGACCAGGGCCGCCTGAACCAAAGCCACGCACACCGGAGATCGGACTCCACGCAGCCACCAAAAAACAGAACCGGAAATACACACACCGGGTATGAATTACGCACCTTGCTCTGGTACCATGTAAAGTATGAAAGAAAATTATTTTCCTTGTATTCAATCATAGGGAAGAAACACCCATATATACAAATAGAGAAATCTAAATTAGGAAACTATTCTAACTATGGAATCCTATAATCAAGCGATTAATCCTTATAATTAAGCATCTATCTACATACGTAACAATTATAAACATTATGGAGGCAATATTTTCACATACAGAGTATGAAAACAGATCTAGCCCGACATCCTGTCATGAATGACATAAAATTCTTCACAGCTAGCTGGAATTCTTGTACTAATAGAGTACACTCGTATGGCTCAGTAAATTAAAATTCGCCATGGTGAGGTCAAACATGCAGGAGATGTAAAACCAAAGTTACTAGTACTAATGCTTGTTTGACTTCTAACCACTTCTATTGATATTTAATCTGGGTTCCACTCATTCTTGTACTAGGAAACAGTATTTAAGGAGTGAAACGCCGGGGGATTTTATTCTTTTATTGCTTTCATTTTATCATGATGGGCTGAGGAATACATTCAAAGATGGACACTTACTGATAATGAGTGGTTTGTTACAATGACTCCCTTCTCTGCTTCTATCCTGTGCATGATGCAGATGAAATTTGCATTACAAGATCTAATCAAATAGTTTGGAACATAAGATCTAATCAAATAGTTTGGAACATAGTGCACATAAAATGGTTTCTACAGTTGGACAGAAAAAGCAGACAATGAGCCCAACAAGCTATGTACAAATAAAAAACACTCAATGCCTTTGAAATGTGGTTTATAATAATTCTAAGTGCTTCTGAATGGAGTATCAAGAAATATCCATGTGCAGTAAGATTTAGGAACTAGGCTATGACATTTAAATAAAAAAGAAGAGGAAAATCAAATAGTTTGGAACATAGTGCACATAAAATGGTTTCTACAGTTGGACAGAAAAAGCAGACAATGAGCCCAACAAGCTATGGACAAATAAAAAACACTCAATGCCTTTGAAATGTGGTTTATAATAATTCTAAGTGCTTCTGAATGGAGTATCAAGAAATATCCATGTGCAGTAGGATTTAGGAACTAGGCTATGACATTTAAATAAAAAAGAAGAGGAAAAAAAAAAAAAAGCCTATATGGTTTATGATTTTTTATCTCATTTTTAGAGCCTCGGGACTCTTGTCCCATAAAAAACAATCAAGCAATTCAACTCAAAACCTATCGGATATGACAAAAGAGGCAATCCAGGAATGTGTAAAAGTTTGGGAACACTTGGGACATTCAAAGATGAAGAGTAAAAGGTGTAACGATGTTCTGATGAAGGAACAAGGTAATAACTGCATAACAGAGAGATCAGAAAGGTGGACTCCTCAAAGACTCAGTTATGGTACTATCCCGAAATATTCAACCCAAAACCGAATTCTAACATACAGAAAGGCTAAGAAGAGGCTCATATTAGGTGATACAATACATACGTGGAATGAACTCTAGCAACCAGTTAATTACTTCAATCTAACAATTTCAAAAGATCCAGTTAGACTTGCACCATGAAGCTATTAATGACTGAATCAATGAGAAAACTAAATCAGAGAAGAATGAAAAATGAAGTATCCGTTTAGTTCTTGTTCCCCATTTTGGTCCTGTCCAATTCAAAAGACAATGCCATATTATACTGCACAACCCGGCGGGTCATATACTCTATGATCAAAAGCAAATATGTAATACTTCTCTTTTGGATTGCTATATTGAAGAATAAAAAATCTTTTTTCAAACTTTAAAAAAGCCAGAGTTGGGAAGTACCACTTGATAGTTGCAGCTGCTGCAGCCAAGCTAAGATAATATTGCTTGTAATAAGTATCTAAACTAAGCGCAGATGGTTCCTTAGCAGCCAAATTCTTTACTAGCACAGCTCCCTTGAGATAAGAATCCAAAGTTGAAGTCATGCATCGACCAAGCATCTGATAAAGAGAATAAAATGGCATAATTATGTCTTATGTAACTACCCTGGTGTCATCAAAGCAACCACGAGCCATTGTGACCTGCAGATTCAAACAACAACGTATTATTTCCTAAGGTGCCAAGTATGAATTCTTCAAGGAGGGAGGGGCGTGGAAGACAATACCTTTCTAGTTGATAAGCAAAATCTATCAACCAGTTCGGAGACTCCCATCATACCATCAGGTGCCAGTTTAGTAGGTGTCACGATAATGACTGTCGGATCGTAAAAATTTAGCAGTGTCTTTGTGTTTTGGTATGAACTACTAGTCTCAATGTACTGTGAAAGATGCAGTGAAGCTGATCTCAAGTCAAATGCAGCCACTCCTACCTGCCAAGCAGATAGTACCATTAATTTCAGCAGCCAAGTCAGCTGCCAGAATTATATTGACAATTTTTTTATCTTTAAAGTTATTAGAAAAAGGTCAATTTATCTTATCAACAATGTGGCAGTACTAGAGTTTCTGAATTCACTAATAATGTACATTCATTCAAAACAAATGAAATTTGCGCTATACAAAGCAAACAAAAGCAAAATACAAATGCGAAACTATGGGATAATTTTATCTTTATCCGTGTTATCCACTCCCCGATTGTGATTTTTGGAAATTAGTTCACTGAACCATCTCCACCAATGGTCATGGATCACTTTAGGCATGTGTGAGTGTATATGTAGGCATTCTTGCTAACAGATTTTAAAGAAGTTTGTGTAAACTGCAATAAAAAACTTGCTAGCTGTGACTAATTGATGAACTTGCAGAAATGGAGACGACCATAAAGAAATGTTTGATGTCTAACTGATGAACTTTCTAGCCATAACTAACTGCAAGTGTAGGAATAAGGCAGATGGTCGTAGGGTTTGTATCTAGCAATGCTCCCATTGGATTACATTTGTTTTGACAAACACGTTATGCAATCTGCAATGTTTTGTTGAGGACTATAGAGAACCACCTCCCCTGTGCCATTTTTAATGAGGGCATCGATTTCTTTAGTCATGGCTTCTCTCCACTTAGGTTCTTCAAAGTTTGACAGAGACAAATAGATCCAAGGGGTGTGGACACGTCTGAGGTTGCTTGTGGTGGCTGAAATTTTATAGAACACAGTAAGAACGAGAAGTAGAAATGAGTGATGACAGGCTCACAGGATGATAACTGCTCCGATATTGCGACAGATTTTTATAGAAAGCTTTGGTGAACTGCGATATTTTCATTGAATCATTATACACATCTACACAATTCACATGCAGCAAATAAATGGATTCGAAACCTACAAAAATGAAATGCATATAGATAGAGTTTACAGGAAAGGAATTCAAAAGTTCAATGCCACTAGCATTGACATATTCTTCTTAGACAAGTTGTCGAACAAGCTCAAGATGATTGACAGATACTTCTTTCACAGATTGAAGAGAATTCACATATTCTTCTTCCAAATGTTTGCTACTTCCCAAGACACATTGGCTTACCAATAAATACAATGAAATTGCTGTAACTTACAACCGAATTACAATCACATACATCAAAATGTGCAAATTCACATAGATAATAAGAAAAAGTTTGATATGTGCAATTTCATAACAATAAATACATATAATAGTAATAAGCACAATATTAGTTGTACGAGAACATTCAAGTACTTAGTGGATGAAATTCTAAATGCAGAGTACCATGCGGTATCAAAATACATACAAAAAATTACTGGAGATTACAATTCGCATTACAATGTCAAAATGTATAATAGTACGTGGATGATATGAAAATCGTTTTTATATGCAATTTTACAATCATAAATGTATTGATAATAAGCACAATTTTAATTGTACGAGAGCATTCAAAGCATTTAATAAATGAATTCCTGGATTCAGTGGAAAATGCGGTATAATGACATAAATTCTGCATCTGGTATATTACCAAATAAATAAATCCTATATATATGATCGTATAGAGAGATAAAGAGAGGATAAAATACCTCCTTAGCGCGATTCTCTATAAGGCCAATGACGATGCTTGATCTCTCTCCTGTATCGTCTTCCATTTGAAATTCAACACACAGGGAGAACAACAGTCTAGGCTCGCTCATTTGATTTTTGCGTTTGCGCCTGTCAACTTATATTGCACGGAAAATTGGTTGTAATTTCATCTGCGGTCACTGGACTTTCAGCAAAATCCCAATTCAGTTGCTAAATTTTCTAATTTATCTCGGTTGATCACTGCCCTTCAATTTAGTTTCAATTGGGTCAGTGAACTTTAATTTTTATTTCAAATTTCTCTCAAATTGATGAGAGCTGCTTAATTATCAGTCATCACAGATCTTCCACGTAATTGTGTGGTATGTCAGCTTATCACTACACATCATAAAATCTTAAAATCGCAAGTTATGATTTTAACATTTTAATAAAAATCATTGTCATAACTCTCATTTTAGCATTTTTATTTCTAGGGTGCCACGTAGGAATTACATGAAAAATTTATTACAATATATATGTCACCTATGCAATTTCTGTAAGCTTGGGAGCTTATAATAATAGAGTGATAAGATTTGAAACTAAACTGAAGTTTAGTTATCCAATTGAGACCATTTAAAAATTTAGTGAAGGTTACACGATTAAAATGGAAATTTGGATTCAATACAAAAGGCAAATTTGTGTTCGTTAATAGTATAGTCAATTGCAGGGGCGGATCCAGACGACTTGGGTTAGGGGGTCAAAAATAAAATTTACAGGGTATCTTCTATTAAAAAAAAAAGCAAGCTAAGCAAAAAAAAAAAAAAATCCCCAAAATCTAGAGGGTGAATTGCCCCTATAATCCCCCCTCGCCCGCCTAGGTCCGCCCCTGGTCAATTGTCTACTGTAAAATATGTCTAAAATTATAAAAAAAAAAAGAAAGCAAAAAAAAAAAAAAAAAAATCCCCAAAATCTAGAGGGTGAATTGCCCCTATAATCCCCCCTCGCCCGCCTAGGTCCGCCCCTGGTCAATTGTCTACTGTAAAATATGTCTAAAATTTTATTGAGTTGTTACTTGACCGTCATAGTTGAATTATTCATTGAGGCAAGGAGGGTGCATGTATTATGGATCCTCTAACTCCTAGTCGAATTGCTTTCCTAAGTCTCATCGATGTTATATGGAGGTTGTGAGGTGCATAGATATGATTGTGTTTATTCCCTTGTCGGTTAGGGATATACTTTCGAGTTGTCACTTTGCTATGGCTATCCTATGAACATTGTTGGAAGGCTACAAGTGAGTCAACGAACATACTTCCCTTTACTCCATTGGAACCTTTTCAACAGATGCAAGATTTCATGGTGTTGATTATCAACTGATCATTATTATGACCGAGCTAGCATTATCAAACACAACAATGGATATTCTTCAAACTTTACTCTCATAAAGTGGGCTTCTAGATTATCGAATTCTAACAAAGTTCTATATGTCAACTTGAAATGGTAGTCAAATACTCGACTTGAATCTTATATTCATGAGTCACATAACGTTATAACAAATTTTGTTCAATTCTACTGTTGAATGCTAACTGCAAATGTAGGGAAAGACTAAAGTTGAACATATTTAAAAGTAGATAACTAACTTGATAATTGAATAACACATTAAGCGATCAAAAGTGTAATTTTTCCCTTTTTGTGCATGAATGTCCAAACGAGTATGATTTGTCTTACCTTATAATATTTTGTTAATAAGCCCATGTTTGATAAAAATTAAAATTCAGATTTTAATATAAATTAAAGTTAACAATTAATTATATTTTATGGAATTCACAACTTTTCAACAACACATTTTATCAAAATCTATTAAAAACCTAATTTTAATCCTTACCAAACAAGGGCTAAGTGTAGTTATAAATAAATTAGTAAGAGCCTTGAATATTTATGTATATTTTAATAAATTGTGCAGGTTATTTTTAATATTCCTCTACTCGGACATTTTTTGTATTGTTTTCAAATAATTTTGATCATTTTACAAGCAGTTTTAAATTTTGCGTATGACGTCGAAAACAAATGAAAAAATAATAAAGTACTTGTACCGAAGAAACAAATATATTTCAGTAAAATTTATAGACATTGTGTATTTAATATGAATTAAGCTCCTCGTAAGGGAGAAATGTACAAATTTTTTACAGATGTACAGGTGGCAATACTGTATTAGCTAATTGCTTTGTGCTTTTGTCTAATTGCCAATTATATCTTGACAGCTGATAATCTGTCAAAAATATTAAGCCCTTGTTTGAAACCCATTCTTTGGGGAAAAAAATGTATTTTTTAACAGTGTTTTAACATTATTTCAATCACATATTTTTTAATAAAATAATATTACACGCAAAAAATGTGCCTTTACCATCACTGACGTGTTTTAAAGTTCCTATTTCGCTTGAAAACCCATTTTGAGTTGCATGTTTATTTAAGTACTAGTCTATGTTATGTGCGATGCACGAGTTGTGCATGAATTATGATTTGATTAGCGTATGTATTGAATATGTTTGAAAATATATTGGAAGATGGAATTATTGGTAAGGAACTAACCAATGAATAATTGAGATAATAGTATACATATTGATGTGTTTGATTATGATTTGTAAATTTGTAAATTCATCGTAATTAATCATGTGTTTGTATTACAGTCAATGACAGATAAGAGAGAATAAAAATTAACTTCACTATCATCGTTAATTATAGAGTATAGCCAAGATAAAAAAAAAAATTCATCTGCAGAAACTACAATGGTTTGCCCAGAGAATGAGATGGGTGTAGAGGTAGTAGCTGCAACATGGGCTGAGTGAGACTTCTGAGTTTTATTTTGTAGTTTTCGGCACGAGTATTTGGTATGACCCGGCTCGTGATAGTAGTAGTACACAACTCCTTCATTCTAACTCCGATTGACTCGACTACCTATGCTCCCGCCTCGTGTATTACCTCTACTATTGCGACTGATAAGAGCACTAGAAGTCTGAACAGATGAAGCAACAGAATCACCAGTATTTGTACGAAGTACTCTAGTGAAGGTTTCTTGCAGGGATGAAATCTCAGCACTGGAGAGAATCTGGGATTTAGCAGTCCCAAACTGAGAATTAAGACCAGCTAGAAAACTCATCACAGCCATTTGCTCCCGCTAAGTTTTCTGCACTTTCACATCTAGACTAAAGGGTAACAGGACATTCAGTTCTTCATATATCTTTTTGAAATTCATAAAATAAGAATGAAGAGACTGATCTTGTTGTTCAACACGGTAAAAACCTTTACAGACTTCATAAATTCGTAATATTCCCTTTCCCAGAGTACATAAATTATAAATATTCCATTAATTCCTTAACATACTAACAGTGATTAATCAAGCTGATTATTTCCGTGTCAATGGAATTACGAATTTGTAAGAACAATCGGGCATTGTCTCTTAACCATGTCTGACGAGAATTATCTGTTGGTGGATCTTCAGTAAGGTGATTGTCCATAGAAATACTTCGCAGATAAATCCAAATTGTCTTACACCAATCTAAATAATTTGGACCAACTAACTTATGTTCCATGATTTTGGACATCACTGGAATGACATCAGTCACGATTAAATCCTCTTGCTTGTCAGCCATAGAAACAAAGCACAAGATCCAAATTGCACTATCCAAATTCAACAAGTGCCCAAACAATATCTAATTAATAGCCCAACTAATAATTAGTTAAGCCCAATAGCCCAAACACTTATTCAATTAATTGAAGCCCAAAATAATGCAGCCCAATTGAATAAAGCAACCCAACAACTAGAATATAGAACCCAATAAGCTGTAAGACAACAGGCCCAATTTCTTCTCTAGAATCACACTCAGACCCAAAGTAATCAAGCACCACTCTCTTCTCCAAACAAATCACGCGCTGACCTAATTTCGTCTGCAAAATCCATGCTCACCGCACCAAAATCAAAATGAACCCAACTAGAAACCGTCAACGAGCCTGCCCAAACTGCAGAGGAAATCAACTGACTGTGAAAAGTGGAAGAAATTGAGCGGACGGGGTCCAAATCGCCGACCAGAGACTCGTCGGTAAAGACCCTAAACACCGGAGATCAGAATCCAACTAGAAAACCTAAACTGCACCTTCGACCAGGGCCGCCTGAACCAAAGCCACGCACACCGGAGATCGGACTCCACGCAGCCACCAAAAAACAGAACCGGAAATACACACACCGGGTATGAATTACGCACCTTGCTCTGGTACCATGTAAAGTATGAAAGAAAATTATTTTCCTTGTATTCAATCATAGGGAAGAAACACCCATATATACAAATAGAGAAATCTAAATTAGGAAACTATTCTAACTATGGAATCCTATAATCAAGCGATTAATCCTTATAATTAAGCATCTATCTACATACGTAACAATTATAAACATTATGGAGGCAATATTTTCACATACAGAGTATGAAAACAGATCTAGCCCGACATCCTGTCATGAATGACATAAAATTCTTCACAGCTAGCTGGAATTCTTGTACTAATAGAGTACACTCGTATGGCTCAGTAAATTAAAATTCGCCATGGTGAGGTCAAACATGCAGGAGATGTAAAACCAAAGTTACTAGTACTAATGCTTGTTTGACTTCTAACCACTTCTATTGATATTTAATCTGGGTTCCACTCATTCTTGTACTAGGAAACAGTATTTAAGGAGTGAAACGCCGGGGGATTTTATTCTTTTATTGCTTTCATTTTATCATGATGGGCTGAGGAATACATTCAAAGATGGACACTTACTGATAATGAGTGGTTTGTTACAATGACTCCCTTCTCTGCTTCTATCCTGTGCATGATGCAGATGAAATTTGCATTACAAGATCTAATCAAATAGTTTGGAACATAAGATCTAATCAAATAGTTTGGAACATAAGATCTAATCAAATAGTTTGGAACATAAGATCTAATCAAATAGTTTGGAACATAAGATCTAATCAAATAGTTTGGAACATAAGATCTAATCAAATAGTTTGGAACATAGTGCACATAAAATGGTTTCTACAGTTGGACAGAAAAAGCAGACAATGAGCCCAACAAGCTATGGACAAATAAAAAACACTCAATGCCTTTGAAATGTGGTTTATAATAATTCTAAGTGCTTCTGAATGGAGTATCAAGAAATATCCATGTGCAGTAGGATTTAGGAACTAGGCTATGACATTTAAATAAAAAAGAAGAGGAAAAAAAAAAAAAAGCCTATATGGTTTATGATTTTTTATCTCATTTTTAGAGCCTCGGGACTCTTGTCCCATAAAAAACAATCAAGCAATTCAACTCAAAACCTATCGGATATGACAAAAGAGGCAATCCAGGAATGTGTAAAAGTTTGGGAACACTTGGGACATTCAAAGATGAAGAGTAAAAGGTGTAACGATGTTCTGATGAAGGAACAAGGTAATAACTGCATAACAGAGAGATCAGAAAGGTGGACTCCTCAAAGACTCAGTTATGGTACTATCCCGAAATATTCAACCCAAAACCGAATTCTAACATACAGAAAGGCTAAGAAGAGGCTCATATTAGGTGATACAATACATACGTGGAATGAACTCTAGCAACCAGTTAATTACTTCAATCTAACAATTTCAAAAGATCCAGTTAGACTTGCACCATGAAGCTATTAATGACTGAATCAATGAGAAAACTAAATCAGAGAAGAATGAAAAATGAAGTATCCGTTTAGTTCTTGTTCCCCATTTTGGTCCTGTCCAATTCAAAAGACAATGCCATATTATACTGCACAACCCGGCGGGTCATATACTCTATGATCAAAAGCAAATATGTAATACTTCTCTTTTGGATTGCTATATTGAAGAATAAAAAATCTTTTTTCAAACTTTAAAAAAGCCAGAGTTGGGAAGTACCACTTGATAGTTGCAGCTGCTGCAGCCAAGCTAAGATAATATTGCTTGTAATAAGTATCTAAACTAAGCGCAGATGGTTCCTTAGCAGCCAAATTCTTTACTAGCACAGCTCCCTTGAGATAAGAATCCAAAGTTGAAGTCATGCATCGACCAAGCATCTGATAAAGAGAATAAAATGGCATAATTATGTCTTATGTAACTACCCTGGTGTCATCAAAGCAACCACGAGCCATTGTGACCTGCAGATTCAAACAACAACGTATTATTTCCTAAGGTGCCAAGTATGAATTCTTCAAGGAGGGAGGGGCGTGGAAGACAATACCTTTCTAGTTGATAAGCAAAATCTATCAACCAGTTCGGAGACTCCCATCATACCATCAGGTGCCAGTTTAGTAGGTGTCACGATAATGACTGTCGGATCGTAAAAATTTAGCAGTGTCTTTGTGTTTTGGTATGAACTACTAGTCTCAATGTACTGTGAAAGATGCAGTGAAGCTGATCTCAAGTCAAATGCAGCCACTCCTACCTGCCAAGCAGATAGTACCATTAATTTCAGCAGCCAAGTCAGCTGCCAGAATTATATTGACAATTTTTTTATCTTTAAAGTTATTAGAAAAAGGTCAATTTATCTTATCAACAATGTGGCAGTACTAGAGTTTCTGAATTCACTAATAATGTACATTCATTCAAAACAAATGAAATTTGCGCTATACAAAGCAAACAAAAGCAAAATACAAATGCGAAACTATGGGATAATTTTATCTTTATCCGTGTTATCCACTCCCCGATTGTGATTTTTGGAAATTAGTTCACTGAACCATCTCCACCAATGGTCATGGATCACTTTAGGCATGTGTGAGTGTATATGTAGGCATTCTTGCTAACAGATTTTAAAGAAGTTTGTGTAAACTGCAATAAAAAACTTGCTAGCTGTGACTAATTGATGAACTTGCAGAAATGGAGACGACCATAAAGAAATGTTTGATGTCTAACCGATGAACTTTCTAGCCATAACTAACTGCAAGTGTAGGAATAAGGCAGATGGTCGTAGGGTTTGTATCTAGCAATGCTCCCATTGGATTACATTTGTTTTGACAAACACGTTATGCAATCTGCAATGTTTTGTTGAGGACTATAGAGAACCACCTCCCCTGTGCCATTTTTAATGAGGGCATCGATTTCTTTAGTCATGGCTTCTCTCCACTTAGGTTCTTCAAAGTTTGACAGAGACAAATAGATCCAAGGGGTGTGGACACGTCTGAGGTTGCTTGTGGTGGCTGAAATTTTATAGAACACAGTAAGAACGAGAAGTAGAAATGAGTGATGACAGGCTCACAGGATGATAACTGCTCCGATATTGCGACAGATTTTTATAGAAAGCTTTGGTGAACTGCGATATTTTCATTGAATCATTATACACATCTACACAATTCACATGCAGCAAATAAATGGATTCGAAACCTACAAAAATGAAATGCATATAGATAGAGTTTACAGGAAAGGAATTCAAAAGTTCAATGCCACTGGCATTGACATATTCTTCTTAGACAAGTTGTCGAACAAGCTCAAGATGATTGACAGATACTTCTTTCACAGATTGAAGAGAATTCACATATTCTTCTTCCAAATGTTTGCTACTTCCCAAGACACATTGGCTTACCAATAAATACAATGAAATTGCTGTAACTTACAACCGAATTACAATCACATACATCAAAATGTGCAAATTCACATAGATAATAAGAAAAAGTTTGATATGTGCAATTTCATAACAATAAATACATATAATAGTAATAAGCACAATATTAGTTGTACGAGAACATTCAAGTACTTAGTGGATGAAATTCTAAATGCAGAGTACCATGCGGTATCAAAATACATACAAAAAATTACTGGAGATTACAATTCGCATTACAATGTCAAAATGTATAATAGTACGTGGATGATATGAAAATCGTTTTTATATGCAATTTTACAATCATAAATGTATTGATAATAAGCACAATTTTAATTGTACGAGAGCATTCAAAGCATTTAATAAATGAATTCCTGGATTCAGTGGAAAATGCGGTATAATGACATAAATTCTGCATCTGGTATATTACCAAATAAATAAATCCTATATATATGATCGTATAGAGAGATAAAGAGAGGATAAAATACCTCCTTAGCGCGATTCTCTATAAGGCCAATGACGATGCTTGATCTCTCTCCTGTATCGTCTTCCATTTGAAATTCAACACACAGTGAGAACAACAGTCTAGGCTCGCTCATTTGATTTTTGCGTTTGCGCCTGTCAACTTATATTGCACGGAAAATTGGTTGTAATTTCATCTGCGGTCACTGGACTTTCAGCAAAATCCCAATTCAGTTGCTAAATTTTCTAATTTATCTCGGTTGATCACTGCCCTTCAATTTAGTTTCAATTGGGTCAGTGAACTTTAATTTTTATTTCAAATTTCTCTCAAATTGATGAGAGCTGCTTAATTATCAGTCATCACAGATCTTCCACGTAATTGTGTGGTATGTCAGCTTATCACTACACATCATAAAATCTTAAAATCGCAAGTTATGATTTTAACATTTTAATAAAAATCATTGTCATAACTCTCATTTTAGCATTTTTATTTCTAGGGTGCCACGTAGGAATTACATGAAAAATTTATTACAATATATATGTCACCTATGCAATTTCTGTAAGCTTGGGAGCCTATAATAATAGAGTGATAAGATTTGAAACTAAACTGAAGTTTAGTTATCCAATTGAGACCATTTAAAAATTTAGTGAAGGTTACACGATTAAAATGGAAATTTGGATTCAATACAAAAGGCAAATTTGTGTTCGTTAATAGTATAGTCAATTGCAGGGGCGGATCCAGACGACTTGGGTTAGGGGGTCAAAAATAAAATTTACAGGGTATCTTCTATTAAAAAAAAAAGCAAGCTAAGCAAAAAAAAAAAAAATCCCCAAAATCTAGAGGGGGAATTGCCCCTATAATCCCCCCTCGCCCGCCTAGGTCCGCCCCTGGTCAATTGTCTACTGTAAAATATGTCTAAAATTTTATTGAGTTGTTACTTGACCGTCATAGTTGAATTATTCATTGAGGCAAGGAGGGTGCATGTATTATGGATCCTCTAACTCCTAGTCGAATTGCTTTCCTAAGTCTCATCGATGTTATATGGAGGTTGTGAGGTGCATAGATATGATTGTGTTTATTCCCTTGTCGGTTAGGGATATACTTTCGAGTTGTCACTTTGCTATGGCTATCCTATGAACATTGTTGGAAGGCTACAAGTGAGTCAACGAACATACTTCCCTTTACTCCATTGGAACCTTTTCAACAGATGCAAGATTTCATGGTGTTGATTATCAACTGATCATTATTATGACCGAGCTAGCATTATCAAACACAACAATGGATATTCTTCAAACTTTACTCTCATAAAGTGGGCTTCTAGATTATCGAATTCCAACAAAGTTCTATATGTCAACTTGAAATGGTAGTCAAATACTCGACTTGAATCTTATATTCATGAGTCACATAACGTTATAACAAATTTTGTTCAATTCTACTGTTGAATGCTAACTGCAAATGTAGGGAAAGACTAAAGTTGAACATATTTAAAAGTAGATAACTAACTTGATAATTGAATAACACATTAAGCGATCAAAAGTGTAATTTTTCCCTTTTTGTGCATGAATGTCCAAACGAGTATGATTTGTCTTACCTTATAATATTTTGTTAATAAGCCCATGTTTGATAAAAATTAAAATTCAGATTTTAATATAAATTAAAGTTAACAATTAATTATATTTTATGGAATTCACAACTTTTCAACAACACATTTTATCAAAATCTATTAAAAACCTAATTTTAATCCTTACCAAACAAGGGCTAAGTGTAGTTATAAATAAATTAGTAAGAGCCTTGAATATTTATGTATATTTTAATAAATTGTGCAGGTTATTTTTAATATTCCTCTACTCGGACATTTTTTGTATTGTTTTCAAATAATTTTGATCATTTTACAAGCAGTTTTAAATTTTGCGTATGACGTCGAAAACAAATGAAAAAATAATAAAGTACTTGTACCGAAGAAACAAATATATTTCAGTAAAATTTATAGACATTGTGTATTTAATATGAATTAAGCTCCTCGTAAGGGAGAAATGTACAAATTTTTTACAGATGTACAGGTGGCAATACTGTATTAGCTAATTGCTTTGTGCTTTTGTCTAATTGCCAATTATATCTTGACAGCTGATAATCTGTCAAAAATATTAAGCCCTTGTTTGAAACCCATTCTTTGGGGAAAAAAATGTATTTTTTAACAGTGTTTTAACATTATTTCAATCACATATTTTTTAATAAAATAATATTACACGCAAATCCAAAACTTTTCTTCATTTTTGAACCACACATTTCACATCAATATACTATATAAAATTCATTATTTCCCCCAAAATGGAGCTCAAACAAAGGCCAAGAAATCAAGAGTAAAGTTAGATGGCTTAGCTGATAAGAGTGCAATTTGAATTTTTGAGAACTTTTTTTCGTCAGATAACTTATATTTTGATGAATTTTAAAAGATTATGTATTCTAATGAATTTATTGGATTTGAATAGATTTCCACAAAATTCATAAGAATCTCATTAAATGGTGAAATTTGAAAAGAGTTTGTTATATGTATTTTTAAGCTTGAAATCCATTCAAATCTTTTAAAATTCCTTTATTAATTAAATCTATATAAATTCAAGAGTTATTGAAAACACCAAAATTTTAATGAATTTCATTAAAAATCATTAATATCTTAGTTGAAAACGCCCAAATTTTAATAAATTTTACAAACATACATTAATATCTTAATTGGGAATACCTTAATTTAGAAGGATTTTCAAAATTATCAAAATCTCATTTGATGACACCTCTAATAGTTTTCCGATTTTTGAAGTTACTAGTCTATATTATGTGCGATACACGAGTTGTGCATGAATTATGATTTGATTAGCGTATATATTGAATATGTTTGAAAATATATTGGAATATGGAATTATTGGCAAGGAACTAACCATTGAATAATTGAGATAACAGTATACATATTGATGTGTTTGATTGTGATTTGTAAATTTGTAAATTCATCGTAATTAATCATGTGTTTGTATTACAGTCAAT